TCCAGAATGCAGTGAGCCTGTTGACGGCCCTGAGTCTCAGGCACGAGTCTCAACTCCAGGCGCAAGCCTCGACGGATCAATTCCTCCTATTCTTCCAGATGAATCAGCAAGGGGTCTTGCCCCTGATCATCTCCCAGACGACTGCCTGGAAACGAGAGATGGGAATGAACAAGGCCAAGAAACCACTCCGAGTGGTACTACTACAACTGGTCTGCCAGACAGTACTGGACCGCATGCTGACCCTAGCCAAAGTCTCTCAATCCAGTCAGGAGTGGGAGCAGGCGGTCAAGAATCAGATCGTGACCCAAGAGGGGAAATGGCCATTTCTTCAGTGGCGCAACGAGTCGAAATGCCTCAAGCCGACAGCGAAACCTGCAATCGATATGATCCAGATGCAGAAGCACCTGGAAGATTTGGTGGAGGCCTCTCAAGCAGAGCAGCATATACTCCGCTTCAAGGCGCTGAAGAATACTTCGGTGGAGATCAAACATCAACAGGTTTGCCCGTTCCTCCTGCACCTGTCAGTGAGAGAGAGCACAATCTGGGAATTGCTCAACTTGCTCTCCCACAATTCGATCTGGCTGCTGGTCCAGGCTCGTGTTCGGCCTCACAATCAGAGGGAGAATCCCTTGGCCACTTCCTTGGCCAAATCCCCGAAGACCCTGGATCACCGCACGTCAAATGGCCGCTCCCACAAGAGGAAGTGAAGGGAACCTTGGTGGCACTTCGGCTCATCAACCCGGATAACCTATGCTTTGTGCATGCCACCATTTTGGCATTCTTTTGGGGCTTCATCCACTTGCGACATGCAAAGTGGAATGATTTGGGTGGAGCTGCGCGTCTTTTGATGGACCTTTGCAGCCGCAGCTCTCTCTGGGTCGATGTCAGAGACATCGATTGTTGGCACCATTGCGCTGCTGTCCTCAACTTTGCAATAGCCAAGAACTTCCATGAGCAGGAACTGCGCCATCATGGCACCATCTATGGCACGGCACGCCAAGCAGATGGGCTGACTGCTGGATTGGAAGAGGCCGCACCTGACACCTTGAGCGCCTGGCTAGGTATGGACACGAACTAAGATCATGATGGCAATCGATCGAAGATCGAATTTTGAAGCACAAGATGGCAAGAGGCGACATAGTCCTCCGTGAGGCAACTCACGTAGCCCCATCGCTCCATTATCACTGGAGATGACCGCGAAAGAAAAAGAAAGTAGCTTCTTGTTCCTAGTAGCGATGCCAGGAGCCCCTAGTAGCTTCTTGTTCCTAGTAGCGATGCCAGGAGCCCCTAGTAGCTTCTTGTTCCCAGTAGCGATGCCAGGAGCCCCTAGTAGCTTCTTGTTCCTAGTAGCGATGCCAGGAGCCCCTAGTAGCGTTCTTTTATTAAGAACGCTTATTGAACTAATGCTCCTCTCCACCCATTCTTCCCGCTGAAGCGAGCAGAGGAGGACGAACTCCGGGATGCAGTGGAAGTGGCTTCCTCAGTCCGTGGCTGACTGTTGTATGGGACAACAAACAGAAGGCCTTGGGTCTGAGAAGCTTTGTAGCTACGAACAAAGAAAGAACTACATATTTGTTGGGTGCTTTTACTATATATGTTCCTTCGTTTTTCTTTTTCTTTGGACCATTCATTTCATTTCTTTCTTTAGACCTTTTGACCGTTTTCTTGGTCTTGGACTTAACTACTCCTTGGACTCCTTGCATTGAACCATCAAAATCAGTGACCGTAGTGACAGGTTGTATCAGGCGAAGCCAAATACAGTGTCCTCCTCTTTTCCGTGCTTAGCAACTGGACACCTACCCGTACCCGACAAACAGTGTTTACCTCCATCCTATGAATTCAACCAGCACAGGAGGCCTAAAGCACAAGTTCTTTGTATCTTAAACACAACAAGCCGTTTCCAGTGCAAAACAGGGCACGGAAAGAACACATGAATACCAACAATGAGACTTCTGAAATACATTCTTAATCATTCTTATACTTGGCAACAACTTCATGAACCGTGAGTCTGGTGATTCTCAACATCAAATCCAAACACATCGAGGTCGCTGCTGCTCCAAACCTGCAGGTCCTTCCGGCCAGTCGATGAGGCATCGCCTAAAAAGGAGGAATGGACCGATGTCGTCTGCCCGTTTTGACGTCTTCATGTTCTTGGAAAAGTCTTTCCCTCCGAGGGTGCTTTTGATTTTAACGGAACAAACACCATGAGTCAAATTTGAATTCTGGCCTGACACCTTTTTCACACTAAGACTATAGGTCTTGGCCTCCAGGGCCTCGGGGGTATTTCAGTGTCCCAAGAAAAATCTGAGCACACAAATAAATTCATATAGATTCCATCGCTTCAATAAGAATTGGCCTTGAAAACCATTAGAGCCCAAAGACGTAAAACAAGCCACGCAGATGTGTGTTGCCATGTTTTGCCCAATTTGTGAATTCCTCCGGTTTCCTCGCTCCATCTAGTGGGACTGAGAAGCTGAGCACGGAGCTGAGAAGCTTTCCAGTGGGACTTCCAGTGAATCATGCTCAAGTCCTTGACCTGAACGAACCACCAAGGAGTTAGAGGCCTCATGAACGGCCACGGCCATCGAAACCGAAGCGTTGGAGGCCATCGCTATTAGAACGGCCTCATTCTGGAGGCCATCGTTACTAGGGTGGAGAGGACACACGAGAAAACGACGCATTGAAAAGCTTCAGCACTCCATCGAAGCGTGTGGAACGTTTGTGGAACGATTGCGTGGAGCCAAACGGTGCAACGGTCATCACCTGTTCCAAGTCGTATCCTTTTACCCACGACTTCACTTCCATGGGTTCACGAGGTTAGTAGGCTAAAGGCAACATGGGATCTTGACCCTTTCCAACAGCCCGGCACCACCATCGTCTAAGAGCTTCGCACAGACTTGCTCAACTTCATCTAAAGCAAAAGAGAGAAAGGCTGAAAGTGGACCTCACTTCCTTCACTTTATCATCTTCTTTGCATCACTTCACCTAGAACCGCCTTGGCCACGCGAGTTCATGACCTTAGGTGGCCTGAATCACTCCTTTCTAACCACGTTCCAAACAAGGACGCTCCTTCCTTCCTTGATCCTTTTTAGGACATATGTTTCACTTGTTCTAACACCTTTCATCCATGGCCTCCAACCTAATAGCGATGGCCTCCACCCTACTAGCGATGGGAAACACTTTTGATCTATACCTTTCTTTTCTTGTTTTCTGTCCTTTTTCGCTCTTGGCCTGGACCACCTGCAGTTCCAGCTTCGCACACACGCCGTCCACCCGCTGTGACCGTCCGCCGACCATCGCCGACCTCCTCGGGCAAGGTGGATTGAGCTGCGACCACAGGAGCTGCGGCCACCACCTCCTCCTGTTCAATGTCCTGCCCACAGGGTACACAGGGCACTCACAGGCATCGGAAAAAGAAGTAACTCATGAAGTTCATCAACAAACACCAGAAGTTGTTCCATTGGTTACATTGATTCTGGAGCCTGTGGATTGGATTTCCTGCAAGATAGCCCCTCACAGTAATATACAGTATAGCTCTTTGCATCCTTATTTTTGTCTCTGCAAGCGAATCGTCAATATGAAACTCCTCACCCGAACATTTCCCAAAACCTCTTCACAACGATTCTACGCAATGAGACCCAGCATGTCTTCCAACAAACCATAGCAGTCAACAGCCTTTGGACCTTACTTTTTTACGCGACTCTCTCTCTCTCTCTCGCGCGCCGAATGAAAAGGATGCAACATCTCTCGGCGTCTCCACCCTCCCTGGCGGTTGATCCAAGTCAGTGGCCGCCCTGACTTCAGCCGCCAGCCCTGGCCTGCAAGCCAGAGGGCTGCTTGACCACCTTAGGAAGGGCTGAACAGTTGCCCCATGGGAAAGGCTGAATAATTTCAACGGCAGTGACAAACTTAATATAGAGGTCCCCAAATAAATAGACAAGTAGATCCCCACTAAAATGTATTGGACACCATTTCTATCAATTTGGGGACCACTATGATAGATGTGTGGCCGGGAAGATCACTACAATGTTGGAGATCTGGACGTGTTTGCAACGTGTGAACGAATCCATCCTGGCCGATCCCAGCCATTCAGGACGAAGGTGAAGCCCACCGGTGACAATGCGACTGCGACTGAGACGAGAGTCTTGATACATCCTCACTAGTAGGTTGGAGGCCCATCGCTAGTAGGTTGGAGTGCCTAAACGGATTTCAGGTGCCGGACCGACGGCAGTGTGGATGAAAAGACACGCGCCGTGGCGCATTCGGAAGACTTCATTCATTGCTGTTCAATGAATGATTCCATAGAACACACGCAGAAACGCTTCTGTTCTAGGAGTAATGAATGAAACAGTGGCTTTCCTTGGACTTGTGCCACTATCAAGATTGACAAGAACGCGTTGACGCTACCACTGACCCAAGCCCAACTTTTGCTTTGGGTCCAGAACACTCCCTTAACAAGTGCATCGCTACTAGTAACAGGTGCCTAGTAACAATGTTTGCTATTAGAAACAAGTGCCTTACTAGTAGTAACTAGAAGCTACTAGGAACAAGTGCCACGCTAGTAGAAACAAGTGCATCGCTTCTAGTAACAGGTGCCTTACTAGTAGTAACACCACTTGCGGCTTTAGGTCTGGGATGCCTTATATGTGATGCTACTTCTCGCAAGTCTCAAAAATGACCGTGTCCGGGCCTGGCCCTCACATAAATGCGTGTCGCAAACAAGCAGTCTTTACTACCCAGTGCTATTTAATCTAATTAATGCATATGATTGGTGCCTATGCCTTTAAACCAGGGTCAACCCGGTGCTCTCGATGCCAAGGAACTCCGGCTGGCTCTTCAACTGGCGCCGATTGGCCTGGGCCCAGCCTGAGAGCAACAGCGTGACACGGCACGATAGGACCGTAGTTTCTGGCAAATGCGTACCGTTGTCACTAGGAGCTTCTTGTTACTAGTAGCAAATTAGCTACTAGCGATGCCCTTGCTACTAGTAGCGATGCCCTTGCTCCTAGTAGCTTCTTGTTACTAGCAGTAAGGCCAGGAGCCCCTAGTAGCGTCCTTGCTCCTAGTAGCGATGCCCTTTGGCCAGGCCAAGAAACCACTTTTGCAGCACAAAGCCAGGTCAAGAACCCAGGTCCTCCATTAGGGTGGAGGCCATTGCTATTAAGTTTGGAGGCCATCGCTAGTACAAGTGGGTTGTAGCTCATATCCCGAAAGGTGGCAAATGTCTGAATGTTGAATGTTGGGATCCAAGCAATGTACGCAGCTGGATCCTGCCCAATCCGCACATACCAGTCGGACTGGTTTATCAAACTGATCGAGAGGTTGCACATCAGCCAAGCTCGCTCTCAATTTGTACCCTGGGCAGCTTCCAGTACCAAGTGAGTAGAAGGTTGACAAACCAACACGCACCAAGATCATTGAACCTACAGAGATGAGCAATTGATCTACAGAGATTTGCGTCTCGAACCAGACTTGTTACTACTAGTAACAAGTGCCACGCTAGTAGTAACAGGTGCCTTACTAGTAGTAACAATGTTTGCTATTAGAATTAAAAAAGAATTAAATCTAAATTAATAGCTTCTTGTTACTACTAGTAAGGCACTTGTTACTAGAAGCGATGCACTTGTTACTACTAGCTTCTTGTTCCTTTGATCACAAAGGACAAACGTCTCGACGTCTGGGCGCGCAGCAACTTCAGAGTTGTGTCGGGCACCCAGTCGGATCCATCCTTGGAGGGCATCGCTACGAACGGAGCGATCGGACGCTACGAACGGGGCTCCTGGCCTTACTACTAGTAACAAGAAGCTACTAGGAGCAAGGGTAACAAGGGCATCGCTAGTAGCTAATTTGCTACTAGTAACAAGAAGCTACTAGTAACAAAGGCACGCTTCCCGATCTCATGTTACTTGAAACGAAAGAACTTATGTTTGGAGCTGGCGCTTTTCTGCGAGACCCACGATGAAGGTTCTGCAACTCTTTGAGCTCGAGACCCAAATGCTGAAGGTGTGCGCAATCGCCGTTGGCTCCATGGCCTCGAAGGTTGCGCCGCGTCACGTCGCGAGCCGCATCCGGACCATCGACTCGGAGGCGGACAGGCGCACCTGCTTCCTGCTTGTCATCAAAGACTTTGGGTCTCAAGGAGTGTTTCATGCCACAGGCAAAGCATGGCAAAGCATGCGATGAACACTTGAAATGGTGGCGCACGTGGCACTACGTTGAACAAGATGCAAATGGTGGTTGAACCGCCGGAATTCGAATAACCACCAACATCAGAGGCTCTCAATGAACCTGGGATAACCTAGGCCTTATGTCGACTATCCTATGAAGAACAAAGAACGCCTTTCTTTCAAACATTCTTGGCCGGGTGGCCGCATCTCCAACGAAAGCCCAGCCATCCGGACGGCCGTCCGCATGCGGCGTAAAGGCCTCAGGACGTCACACGTCACGCGACACGTCACGGTTGACCCAAACGAGCAGTGGATGTTCCTTTAAAGTGGTGTGTGTCTCGTAAACACCATCTTTAGACATTTTCAGACAGCGCGTTGTCTTAGATACCAGTATCAATCCAGTATCCTTCTGGGAACATGTTCATCCAAACAGGTCAGTATCGACTCCGCACACCGAATCCCACGGACTGACCATTGTGGTCGACCGAAGCGGACCAAACGGGACTCAGAGTCGGTGGAAGCTTTGCCGCGCGAAGCCGCACAGGTTTTGCTGAGGACGTGTCCCACTGACTGGCATCGTTGTAGAGAAGGTAGACAGCCTGTCAGGTTGGAGGCCATCGCTAGGGTTAGGTTCTTTCTATGTTTTTTCCTCTCTCTCTCTCTCTCGGTGTGCACAAACGTCGTTGGGCCCTAAGTAGTGCCCATGACTCTTTCACCTCTCTTGAACTCCAAGGCAGCTTCTGAATTGCAATGTCTTCCACTCTTCAACTGTGTCACTGCGTATCTTCTACTCCAGGCAGAATCGTTTCTCCATGCCTGGCTGTTCGCCGGCAGGCCCAGCTTCTTGTAGACGGCTCGGTCGTTGCACTTCAGCGATTGCTCCTGAGGACGTTCACTCGTCTCGGTTCTGTAAGGACTTTCAAGAACACTTGCTCCAAGGGTCTAACTACAGTAGATGCCACATTGCCATGGCTGGTTGCCAAGAAGAAACTTTGTGCCAATGATGTGCAAAGACTCCTACACCTCACTCTAGGGCAGAAATTAGCCTAGCTGGAGACCCCAATAGCAAGATACAAACCAGGACAAAAAGCACAATCTGGAAACAGCTGCTGTTTTCAACACATCGACCATCTCTGACTTGGACACCATCATCACATAACCGGGACACCGTCACAACATGACCGGGACACCGTCACAACATGACCGGGACACCGTCACAACATGACCGGGCACCAACACAACACGACCGTGACACCAGCATCACATGACCGGGACACCATCAAAATATGACCGGGACACCATCCGCCCACCAGCTCTGACGGTGACCCGACGGCGCCCGTCCGCCTATTAGTTTTGCAAGACCCCATAGCATGGCTATTGGGGAAATAAATGGCGATCCATCAAATCTATTTCAGACATGCATCATAGTCCTCAAGTCTTCAAGTCGTCTAAGCTCGTGATATGTACGACATGTACCTTCCTGTTGGTGCTTGACATGTAGGAATCTCATGGACGACAAGCCAAACCCTTACCCAAAGCCATATTCTGGTGGGCTCAGCTGGAATGTAGCAAGGTTGGACCACCAAACTGGGTCGGAAAGGGCTTCCTGTCTGGATGGGAATCGGGGACCCGAAGCAACGGGAGCAACGGGAGTCATATTATGTCAATCTGAATGATTCCGAATGTCAGTTTTCTTACTATCCTAAAGCAAATGCAGAAAGAAACAACAGTCATCCAATAGAGCCTACACCGTTTCTCCATTCCATCCATTCATGTTGAAACACGAAGCCCTCCACAGCGCTTGTGGCTCCTGGTACTCTCCGCAGAAGGGCTGCCCGATCCTTTCAAGAACAAAACCCGAGTCCGACCAATGAAGGCATGAGGGAACCTCATAGCAAAAGGAACCTAACAGCAATGGCCTCCAACCTAAGAGCGATGGCCTGCCCTCTAGTAGTGATGGCCTCCAACCTACATGGCCTCCACCCTACTAGGGATGGCCTCCAACCTACAAGCGAGGGTGCCCTCTTCGACATACCATCTCGCCTTCAACTGAAAACATCACCCGGGCATTGACATTGACATAGCAACCGAAATCGAGCGATTCCCGCGGACGGGGGCCCCCGCGACATGTTCGAGCTCACCCGGATGCGGACCTCAGGGAACGACACACTTTTGACACCAACGCTATTAGGTTGGAGGCCATCGCCTGCCATCGTTATGAGGTTGGAGGCCATTGCTACTAGGGTTGGAGGCCATTGCTATTAGATTCTTGTCACTAGGAGAAAGGGAGTTTGACCTTTCAACGACGTGTTGGGTGGCAAAAACAAGATGTAGAACATCTGCACAAAAAGTCTGAGCTATCCAACGACATTGGAACCATCAGCACCTGCAAAAGGGATCGTTGCCATGAGGAAGTAAACGAAGACGTGACATGCAGGCATGCTGCTAGTCATCTCTCAGGGCAAAGTTCTTCACCCAACATGGTCTTTATGCTCTTACTGCTTCGACCAAACTTTCTGACGGAAAGGCCAGCCCGAGATCAACACAAACCTTGCTGCCGCCTCCATCACTCGCTGAGAGATTCTTCGCAAAGAAGTCCTGGTCATGAAACAAGAACATGTCTAGAACATGTTGTACTTTAAATAGCTTGCTTCAAAACATAGCTTTTCCCTAAACATCTAGGAACCACATGAGTAGTGCGAGCGCTTCTTCAAGGAAGCTTCCTGCGGCGGGGGGAGCTTCCTTGAAGAAGCGTGAGCTATCCTGCGTCCTGTCAGTAGTAGCGTTCTTGTATCTACTAGCTTACCTCTCCTTAATTACTTAAGTAGGGAGGGGGGAGTGGGCTTGAAAGCAAATATAGAATTATAGATATACCACACCTAAAAAATAGCTTGCTTCACAACATAATGGCTTTAGATATCTTTAGATGGTTTTAGTTGGCAATCGCTCGCGTCCGTCCTTGATGTTGCCCAGCAAGCCCGCGGATCGAACAACGCGTCGTTTAGGCCCTCATCGGGTGTGTGCTTCCCAGTGTGTGCCATGCCAGGCATTTGGATATGCTGACTGAAGCAACACTTGCTTAAACATGTTTTACAGTTTCCTACCTTGAACAGTTAATTCCACTTCCTTCCTCCTGGAGGTCGATATCGAATCTCCTTTACTTTCGTCTTCCCCAGACGCGACACGAGCGAGCTGAGGCTTTGCACTCAGCCGCTCCCCACGGCTGGCTTTCCGTGCTCCCACCTGGGCGACCGATGAGACTCGATTTCCCTTTCTTCCGAACTGGGAGGTCTCTCCTCCCAGTTCACAATCCACATCCATTTGGATATCGGTTCTTTTATGGGAAAAAGAGAACATATATGAGGACGGTCTATCGAGAAAAAAACCGACCACTCTCGACTTTCGGAAGATCTGTGAAACCGTGACGGCCAAAACGTGAAACTAGATCCATAATGATCTATTGCTATTGGGGTGGAGGCCATCGCTAGTGGGTTGGAGTCCATTCCAGAAGACAACCAGTAGCACACCCGTCGATAATCTTCGGTTCGACGGGTCTGGCCGAATCGTGATCAATCAAGTGTTAGTTCTTCCGAATGGGGCGTGGACAACTTCACATCTCCATGGCGCGCTGTCCAGCCATTATTGGACTTCCGCATAGACACATAGCCGGGCTCATAGCGGTCAAAATGCATCGTGTGAGGCACATCGTTTTGAGGAGAAACGGGTTGGAACCCATAGCCATAGTATGCCATAGTTGCTTAATGCTGAGACTAAGCGACTAAGCGTCATAGCTGCTGGGATCCAGGCACGTGCAGCTATGGCCACAGAACCGCATGCCGCAAGGCTGGAGCGAGAAAAAACCTCGACTCACATGACTGCTTATCTGCAGCCAATTGGATATGCTTGGTTACAAATGAGACATAACATGCTACAGCTCCATATCATTCCTCATCCCACTACTAGGGTGGAGGCCATCGCTACTAGATCTTCAGGGCGTTATGGTACTGCAAAAGATCTGCCCATTGACCTCGTCAATCGTAGTTGGAAGAGTCTAGCTGTACCTGCTTATCCACGTCTTGTTCATAGAGGATATACTGATATACTCCCTAGCTAGTGCAGCTTGAATGTGCTTGAGCATTATATCTCAATTGCTCTGTTTGCGACATTGGCTTCCCGGCCTGGGGAAAGCCCTGGGCAAGGCCTGTCTTGCTCTGGGAACATAAAGAGACACTGCAAAGTCGGATCCCAAACAACTTTTTCCAATGCCACATGCTACAAAGGCCACATGCTAAACCTCTCCTAATATGCTCTTGTCCGCCACATTGTCTGTGTCTCCGCTTTGTGCCTGCAGGCTTTGCAACTCCTCTCTCTTGGATGCTTCCGCCTCATGTCATGAGCAGTCGCACACACTGCCGAAGCTCATAGGTACACCACAATGTTTGAAACACGCCTTTCTCACGCAAATGTCCTGCTGAAAAACACACACATGCATTCTCAACGAACATGACAGAAAAAAGACAAAAAAAACTTCCAGGGAAGGAGCAATAGCACAAAACCCTTGGATCTCAAACAGCATCAAACAGCCATGCCGAACACGATCTGAGATGTGATTCCTGCGAATGGGAACAGCCAATCCAGGTGTGAGGCGGCTCTAGGCTCTGGGCCTTTGATGACTCTGCTGGTTTGCACGGCCTCACAACAAAGGGCTCTTCCCTGTCTTCGAACACTCAATGATTCCTATTGATTCATATGATGGTCTCAAACTGCGTCCCACCGTCTTCAACTAAACACCACTGACAATGCTTCCATCACGATTCATAAACTGTCCGACTTTCTTACCCGTCCTGTGGCAATTGCAGGTTCATGGCGGCGACGCGCCCTTGGAGCGTGCAGCTCTGGCAAAGGCCAGCGAGACGTATCGCTGAAACCACGAGCCTATTGCAGAAAAAACATATATATTCTCTATTCTCCCAGTAGGTCGTGGACTCGACCGCTCATTCCGAGTAACAAGAAGGCAACTCTTCTCTTTTTTCTCCCTCAAACCTCTCTCTATTCATGTCTGTTTTGACAAGAAGGCAAACCCTCAACTACTCCTTGCTACGCGGATCCACGGTGCCTGAGTGCTCGGGCCTCAAAATCCTCAGCCTTCACGGCCTTCGGGGTTGGAGCCCCTGCTTCTTCGGGCTGAGCCAAGCTGCGTCCGAGCGTGAACATTGGATACCCCAAAGGTCCCACACGGATGTCCCTACGACTGGCCCCCTTAAGATCCGCTCGTTGTTTATTTCTTGTTTACTTGGCTACTAGTAGCTTCTTGTAGCTTCTTCTGTTCTTTTTTTCTTTCTGTCCTGAGACCTTTTCAACTCTCCTCCTTCCGTTTTTCTCGGCCATTTCTTTCTTGCTGAAACCATCATCAAACTAAACTGCCTTCTTTGAGGGCCTTAGGTGACTTTACAAGCTCTCCACTCTCAACTTCAAGAATCAACTACTCTGAATGACCAAAACACTGAAGGCACATGTCCTCCATGGCCTAAAGTTGCCATAATTCTCTGTGAAGCATTCCAGAACCAAATACCCAAACCCTTTTAGCAGCGGCTGTCCTCGAACTAGTAGAGTTCTGTAAGCAGCCCAGAACTAAGGCCGTGGTGACATTCTTTCCACATTCTCCCTGTCAGCTGCTGTATCTTGGCTCTTAGCGCCAGCTCGATTTTCTCAACGCCGAAGCGTCTAGATATCGGTGAAACTGCGTTCCTGGCGGCAGATCGACTGCCGGATGCGCCGGTCGGCACCACAATGGTCGTAGCTGGCTAATTTACATTCCTAGGCATCAGATAATATGACTCATATACATAACTCAAAACCAGAAGTGTCTTGAAGCAGCTCTAGCAAAGCCGTTTCTACCGATATGCTTTGAACAGCACTCACCGAAGTATACTTCCACAAATGCAAACGCCTTGCACATACAGAACATCCAGATCCCATCCGAAGGTCCCTCTTGAGGGTCGCCAATTGGCGACCAAGTGGGCAGAAGACAGTCGACAACAAGCAAACTTGTTCCTAGTAGCTTCTTGTTTCTAATAGCTTCTTGTTACTACT